AAGGTAATGTGACTAAAAGGTATTTCCATGGCAGTTTTCAACCCTATCGCTGCTCCCTTCTGTCACTTCTTTCATTTCCAATCTCTCACTAGGTCCAGCATATGACTTTGGGTTAAGCACAGAAACACGTTCCTTTTGGATGATCCCCTCAGCATATGCGGCAGTGTTTCTTAACCGTGGCATCTTTAAGATACCCTAGCAATTTCCAGAATTGCTAGGGTATCCCTTGCATGCAGCCTTCTGCCATAAGTTCTTTTTGAAATAGCATGAAGATCTACAAAGGCTTCTGCTTCTAAAACTACAAATCTTAGTTTAACAACGGGAGCACATTCTTTAGCAACTTTATACTTCAAAATGTTATTTTTTTTTCACTTCTGACTCTGCTCCTGGTTCATTTCAGCAAAACCAACCAAGTATGTGCAGTCTGTACATAGATTCAGGGATGTGTGTTTTCATAAATCTCCTGAATCTACAGCTTAATTTCAGTTTTTCTCCTTCTGATCATGACTGTGCTGAAATATACTGTTTCATTTTCACAAGGGAGTTCAAAATTTAACAAAGCTTTTATATTGTTTTACCACCATGACTGGAAAAACTGCATATTATCGGTAGCTGCTTACCGTTTATGACTGGGATTTGTCTCGGCCAAAAAAGCAGTGTGATTGTTTCCATTCAGAATCTTCTGCAAACATGGTCTCTCTGACTCATCTTCTGTTCTTGCAAAAATATGTCAGACATGCAACCCACCCTTTGTCCATGTGTATTACTATTATGACATCTCAAACATTATGCAAGCTCCAAAAGAGATATTTTAACTAGACTTTGCAGCCAGATTTCAAAAAAAGGAGGAGGTGGAAGAAGAGAAATTATGGAATGCAGGAAGTGAAGCCTTCTATATAAATAATTTGGTAATTTGGAAAATAGACCATTTCCCTTTTGTTCTTCATAATTAATGTTCTTCATTATGAAGAAGGGTTGAAGCATTCTTTTTCCAACACTTAACTTCTATATAATATTACATATTCTGTTGCACTTTTCTCCCATCAAGAGATGGTAGGTTTTTCTCTGCTGTGGTATCAGGACCTTTGGACCTTGGTAGGGACTAGATGATTTGATAGTGGCACTTATATCAATAAACACTTCTTGGCCAAAGCATTTTAAAATGCTGGTATTACCTTTGAAGCCCTGCTTAGGCCTTATCGAAAAATAAAATGGTTTCCCTGGATTGAGTTTACACAAAAAGGGAACATATAAATATTTTCAGTTAACGAACAACAGTGGTTTGCTTGGGCATAAGTCCCTTTATTTCTATACTAGTGATTTATTTATATCACTTATATCAAAGTGAAATTTTATTATGCTGGTATTTTAATACAGTGAGGTCTGCATGGCTCTAGAGCAGTGTTTCACAACCTTGGCAACTTGAAGATGTCCGGACTTCAACTCCCAGAATTCCCCAGCCAGCATTTGCTGGCTG